CAGGGAGCCCCGCAAGCTTCAAAATAAAATAAAAACATGATTATTTCATAAGTATCCATAAATACATGCTCTTGCCTCTGCATAATTAGTAGGTTGTAAATGCTTAAATAAAAACACATATATCGATACCCAAATGTTGTGTTGTAAAATGTAATATTGTTTAAAATTTTTTTCCTAGGACGCTACACACAAGCCCGGGATTGTTTTTCACTATTAAATTGTCAATTATTCTAGTCAAAAAAGAATGGTCAGTTTTCAGCAAAACATTTCAATAGTCACTTTATTTACCATTTACTTCATCATATTAACAATATTAAAAACATGTTATAATTAATGCACAAATAAATTGTACAGTAGAAATAGAATAGAAAAGATTAATCAATGGACATACATATATGAAATTAGTCATTAACATCTTTTCCCTCCTCAGGTAGAACGCAACTTTTGTCATTGGACGCCGAAAAGTACCTTTTGCTGTTGTGATGAACTTGTCCGTCTCGACCGGGGTACAGGGCAGATATTCTAGGGGCCAGGTGTTACGTGCATTGTCATCGTCCACAATTATTGCCAAGTCGTTATTGTGTGCCATTTGCACCTCCTTTTCAAGCAGGGTAAATACTCATGAATTCATCTTTTCCAAAAGTTGTCCAGTAGGGTCTTAACTCGAGTTAGTTGCCTTCTGCAAAGTTTGTCTTCATTGATATCTATTTTGAAGGCTTCTCTAAGAAAATGGTTTGGAGTGAGCGGGTCTGGATCAAGTGGGTCAATTGGTACATTAGTCAGTGGTCTTGAATTGATGATAAACTATATTTGAATAAGAAAGGTTTGAAGTTCTTCATCCTTAGGATACTGGGAGCACATGATAAATTTTAATGCAGTTTTAACTGATCTGATGAGTCTCTCCCAGCATCCGCCCACATTTGGGGCTCGAGGAGGAATAAAGTTCCATTTGATACCTTGTCTGGATATGACCCTCTGAATGTGGACATTGTTTAAACACTTAGTAGCATTCCTGAGCTCATTGTCACTCCCAACAAAGTTTGTCCCATGTCCGAGAACATCTCCGATGGACAGTGCCTTCGGCTGATGAAACGTTGGATTGCCATGATACAATTTTCTGTGTTCAAAGAATGTGCACCTTCTAAGTGGACAGCTCTAGTTGTCAAACATGTGAACAAAACTCCCCAACGTTCCTTTTGTCTTCTCCCTACAGTAACTTCTATCGGTCCGAAGTAATCTATTTCAGTGTAGAAGATCGGATGGGTAGTTCTTGTTACTCTGAATTCTGGTAGAGGCGCCATTTGGGGGGAAAAGGCTTCACACAATTCAATCTGCACCTTATGCATTCTCTCTTAATTTTCTTTAGAAGTGGCCGTAGATTTGTTATCCAGAATCTTTTCTTATCTTGCACCCAACTGTCTCGAGACCTTGATGGAAACATTCATCATGATACAGTTTTTCCTATCAATCTCGAAGTAAAGTGTCGGCCATCTAATATTATAAGATTTTTCTGATCTGCTGTCAGTTTGGGTGAGTTTGATGTTCTTGATGACATTCTTAAAATGTTGTTAGAATCCAAATATGGAGAGAATGAATAAATGCGGCTTGACTTAAGAAGACTTTTTTCTCATCAAAAGTTTCCTTTCTTCACCAAAGGTTTCATCTCGTGGAAATTTCAAAAGAATTTCTGTGGCAACTTTCAGTTCTTTAGGTTCCAGCAACGATGCTTTTGTAGTCTATTGGTCCAAATTGAAGTTGAATTTTATGTTATTGACATATCTCAAAATCCAAGCAAAAATTCTAGTTGGTTTCTCCCATGACGAGAACTTTGAAATGTAAATTATTTTTGCATCCACATCTGCATGTAAACCGGTAAACTGGCGTTTGGTTTCATGGTCTTCTTTCACTTAGCGGCTCGGTGGTTGTGCGGGCCAGTGTTCACAGTTTAAAGATAAAAATTGGGGACCATGGAGCCATGTGTTTTGAATATCAGACTTGAACCTTTTCTTGCTTCTAGTCGCATAGTCGGCAGGGTTTAATTTTGTCGGGACCCATTTCCAGTCTTCTGCTGAAGAAAGTTCTTGGATTTATCCAAATCTATTAGAGACCGACTGTTTATAGTTTTTTAGATCTGACTTGATCCAGTGTAGGACTGTTTGAGAATCAGACCAATACGTTTACTTTTGGATTGAAACGCCCAAATCTTGTTCGGCAGCAGAAGCTACTCTACATCTTAAAATGGCAGCTTGGAGTTCCAGTCTAGGTATAGCCAGGTTCTTGATGGGCGCCACCTTAGCATGTGACATGATCAATGTTGTTTCGTAAGTGTATTTGTTCTCCTGACGCAGATATGCAGTTGCAGCATAAGCTTTTTCGCTTGCGTCAACAAATATGTGAAGTTCAACAGAGTCACTGACTCGTGTGTTGACGTAGCACCTTTGTATTTTCAGTGTTTGAAGACTTTTGACTTCATCCATCCAAGCTTTCCACTTCAGACTAAGTTCAGGTGTCACAACATTATCCCAACCTAGTTTCGTTCTCCATACATCCTGAACCAGTAGTCTCCCTTTTATTTTGGTAGGGGCAACTAGACCTAGGGGATCAAAAATTGACATAGCTGCTTTAATAATCTCTCGTTTCGTCAAATTCAAGTTTTTCAACATTGCGATGGAACACAAAGCAGTCGGATTCAGCGTCTCACCATGATCCAAGTACTCGTTCTGTAGGAAGTTGGGTATCGGGCATCAAGTGTTTGGCTTGGCTGGCTTTAGGTTTTCAGGAATTTTCGGAAGTACTTGTTTTGAATTAGACATCCAGTTACAAATTTTGAACCCTCCAGCTATATGTATCTCAATTATTTCTTGAACAAGACGTTTAGCTTCCTCTTCTGTGTCGGTTGAATCCAGCAGGTTGTCCATAAATTCTTTAGTCAGTATGGAATTACTAGCTTCAGTAGACATATACAATATAGGTATGTCTAATTTTGAAACAAGGTACTTTTTGCCAAAGTATTATTTATGCCATGCCCTTAGAGTTGTTTGGATTCTTAAACCATGTACAAATTTACGCTGCCTAATATATTGTACAGTACTGTTAGAGTAATACACCTAGTATATTGCTGAACGTTTTGAAGACGTTTTTCTACTGCAATACTGTTTCGAGAATATCTTGGCTGACAATAGAGATACTGATTTGGAAATTGAAATACAGGGTGCGGCAAAAAAACCGATCTATTTTCTGCAAAGCACTGTTCAGCGACAGGTCGTCCGAGAGTGGTGGGAGTAGGCTCGTTGGAAAGCTCACACGATGCCATTTTTTGAGAGCAGTAGTTGCCTGAGCTAGAGCTGTTGTTATGGAGTAGTTTTTATAAAATAATGAATTTATTCATTGCTACTCAGTGGCAGTTTCATGCACTCTTTCAATTAAGGCGACATGGAGAAGTTCCGTTGCGTAGCACAATAATGCGGTGGGTTACTTACTTTAGGACAACGGCTTCTGCGATGAAAAGGAAGCTGACAGGCCTTCCAAAGTCTGATCGAACGCCAGACAACAAACATTCGATAGAGTTCGTGCTGCTGCGGAAAACAGTCCTCGTAGGCCAGCCCGAAAATAAACGGCTGCCTTGAACATGTCTGACCGCTCAGTTATACAAATTTTGAGGTTAATTTTCATCCCTATGGATTAGAATAATAATCTGTATAATTTGGTAATCATCCATACAGATAATCAGGTCGGAACCTCTCTATGTCGACCAAATTAAATAAAAGCACGGAACTGCCGCTGAGTTGCAATGACTAAATCATTACTTTTTAAAAACAACTCGATAACAACCGCACGTAGCTCATACGACCACTGCTTTATGACTACAAAAAATGGCATTGGATAGGCTTTCCAACGAGCCTACTCCCACCACCCTCAGACGATCTGTTGCTGAACAGTGCGCTGCAGAAAATGGATCGGTTTTTTTGCCGCACCCTGTAGTTCCACTCCGTCCATTAGTAAGATATAATTTGATACTGTAACATTAATTTTCCTATTAAACATTTCGCTTTGATTGTCAGGAAGTTTTTTTTTCCTTTACCTCACTAAATACTTGTAGTTTTTGTTTTATGTTCCCCTTAAGCACTAAAATAAAACGTTAATTTGCCGTTTAAACTTAATTAATGAAAAAAAAGTTATGGGTTTATGAGGGAAATGTTGGGATAAAAGTTTTAGACAACTAATTATCTACAACTTTCTCGCTAGAAGTTTGTTTGGACCTTAAAATTAAAACAGATTTCCATGGTGTGACTGTTTTGAGTTTTGTTAGCTCTTTTACAGTTTTAATATATAACATCAGCTTGTTGGTAAATTAAATAAAAAAAAATTCAAAGATTCAGCGTTTAACACCAAAAATAAATATATAACTTTTATATTTGGTATATTAAACGAGAAGGGCACAGGAGGTTGTGTTGACATCACACTCGACGGTCGGAACCGCGAGCTCTGTAAGTTGGTAATGCAGTATTTTACCACTACAAGGGCGCACTCTTACCCGGCACCAACTGAACTACCTCTAGCAGCCCAGCGGCCGGCTACAAAACTGTCGTTTAAAAATGGCTGGGGCTGCTGCTCTGTTATGTATTATTACTCTGAGATGGTACTCATCTGAACACAGGTAAACATATGTCTGTCCAATGACAATAACAGAGTCAGAAAACCTTTTACCATACAGTACCTTTGAATATTAAAAAATTCAATGACCTTCAAATCACTTTTAAACTTTTCCAATGGTTATTCTTGAAAAATGTATTATCTATTTTTATTAGTTAAATTCTTTCACTTCTTTCATGTTGCTAGAAGCGAGTGCTAAAATAATTTTATTATATTATTTTATAAATTATTTTATTTGTAAACTACTAACAATCTTAATTGAACAGGTGTCAACTAAAACGTAGGGTAATAAAAAACTTACTTACATAAGACATTTCTAAATTGTATTTAAAAAACAACAAACTTACAGAGACCGAGCAACTTGTTTGATGTTTTCAATATTTTTTGGATTCAATGTGTGACATTTCTTGAAATATTCCATAGACTCTTGAATTTTCCCTTCATGACGAAGAATTAGCCCCTGGAAACAAGAAATGTTGTAAACATATAGTAGTAGTTTGTTACATAAATACCCTGCTCACAGCCAGCCTTGGGTGGTGCGGGGCCCATTGCAAACATTCAGAGCGGAGCCCCTTACTACCGAAAAACTAGTATCCTAACAAAAATGTATATATGTATAATTTCAAGATTTATACCTAACCCTAATTTTTCATTATTGACATAAATGATGTAAAATTCATAGACTTTTTTTGTCATACACTGCAACAAAAACAGCAGTTTTAATACATGCGTTGCGGGTCTAAAGTGGCTCTTTTACTCCCTAGGGAGTAAAAATCCGTTTTTGTCTCTAGGGAGTAAAAATCTGCTGTTGTAAACTTCGGTTGTTAGCAATCGCATGTGTCGAAAGTATGAATTGATGGGTTTGATCGGTTGTTGCTTATTGTAGCCTTCTTGTCAACAGTTTGACATATCAATAATATAATATGTACCCTACACTAACACAGTCGTAATTTACGAAATAATTTAACCAATTACTAAACAGCTGCTTCTTTGCATTAGCAAACTTGAATACAAGTTGGAAGTCGTTTTGAGAGGTTATTTTTACGTGAAAAAGTATATTTGTTTTGTAGCTTAATTTGCTTAATTAATGACGAAAAATATATTTCATCACACAGGCAAAAAGTTTCTTTTGAACCCTCGCTCATTTTCCAACCTCGACTTTGCCTCAATCGTAAGAGTTGAGCTTCGGACGAAAAGAGTCACTTTACGCCCTAGTGATGAAATCTATATATATATAATACGTGAAGTCGTTTTTTGTTAACTCCTCCCTTATTTGTGGACCAATTTCAACGTTTAAGGTGTCAAAAGGTTTGTCTCAATATGTAGTTTTGCGATAAAATAAGGTTTTAGAATTTTAAAATTCCTACTCTTAAGGGCGTGAGACCCTCTCAAAGGTCAGGTTTTCCCCACAAGAAATACATAGAACAAATTTAAAAACAAAAAAAACAACTGTTTATAAAAAGAAACTTATTAGCTTATTGGGAGTAAATATTAATGTTTGCAATATTCAGTAGGTTGAGACCAAGTTAAACAGTTGATAAGTTTTGTTGGAAGAACAGAAAATACCTCAAGTTCAAAGAAGAAATATTGAAAACGGGAGGGTGAGACAATTATAGTAATAATAAGATATCTTATGCGTATGAGGAGAATAGAAAAAGAGAGGCCTGGTCTAACAGTAACAGATACCCATCCAGATACACATTCACTTGGTTAGATGAATAATACTGTATTTGCCAGTTCTGCTATGTAACTTACTTTGGAAGTGAAAAAATATACGAAGCACTTGTGTTGACACGGTGGTAAATTAAACTTGCCTAATGTCAGATCAAATGAATGCATGCAATAAATGTTTACTTCTGACACTAATAGATCGAGATATTTCTAAACATTTATTAGAAACTAATAATGCCTTGACTATGACTATGTTCAAGTAGTAAGATTAGGCGGACATTATGTTTTTATTATAAACTTTTGTGTTACTCGCTATACTTCAATTGAGAAAAAATCAAATTGATTGTTTACTTCTAGGTTATGTTGCCAGTTCCTCGGACAAACTTGTACAAAGTTTTTTGACTGAATTCACCAACACAATCCAGACATTTCAAGTCAAAAATAACAAGTTTCAAAAACCGATTTGCTATTGAAAGTTTTAGTGGCAATATTAGACCAAACATAAGTGAAGGAATTAGCGTTTATGTATTCAACGATCGAGTAGGGACGGTCAAGTTTTATTTTTATGATTCTAAGGCAAATAATATAAGCTGTTCGAAAAGAGAAAGTGAAATTTGCTATCCAAATTTTATGGCTACAAGAGTTAAATACAACCCATTTCTATAAATGAATCCATACTTTCAAAACTTTGGGACAGGTTTTGAGAACCCCAGAAACTCCACTGAACAACGTAACAGTGTTCTGATATACTGAGATTGACAGACAACACGTTAAAATACGTTAACCAACTTTCAATGGCTTTAGCCTATTCAAAGCAGGTCATGGCTGTCCAGTTTGAAACCCAGAGTTTGTGGGTAAAAAATGGATCACATGAAATGATTGATATTAGCCCACTTTTCGGGATTCTATAAAAAAAAAATTCGTTGGTTTAGGGGGACGTCTCAAATAAAAGAAATAAAATTACCCAGCTTAAATTACTTTACATGGGTTATCAGTAATGCAAGAGTTTTCTTCGATTCTCAATGCTGGAAAAACTTTGGTTTTCAAACAACTCTAAGATGTAACTAGAATTACTCGAATTTAAGCATAACGCTCTTCTCGGCATTATGTTTCATACTATGCGGCTCATTGAGCCGCATGGGTTCTCTAGTATACTATTATTTTTTGTACCAAAAGTGGAACCCCCCAAGGTATGGGGCCCTATGCAGCCGCACCTTTCATACGTGCCTAAGGGCAGCTCTGGCGCACAGAACACCTGCGGACTAAGCGAATTCCCTTTTGTCTGATTAGATTTTTACTACCTTAACTTTTTACAGTTATTCAATAGTTATATAACTTTAGATTTTATGAGTACCATCTAGGTTTGCTGCAACAGGGAAAGGAAACCAGGACATGATTGAGCCATGCGAACGAGATCATCTTGAAAATTAAGAAGTTAAACGGGGCAAAGCCCGCGGGTTACAGCTAGTATATATATATATATGTGTGTGTGTGTGTCCGTTAACACGATAACTTGAGCAAAAATGATCTGATTTTGATGAAATTTTGTGTAAACCTACATTTTTATTTGAACGAGTTCGCGAACCAGCATAATCGGAATATGGGAAGGGGGGTTTATGGGGGGTTTTATGGGGTAAAAATAGGTTTTTCCCATTTTTGACCCTAAAAACACAAAATTTTACAATTTCTTTCCAAACCAATTTGTAGAGCTTAAAAAAATAATTTAGTATATTGAGCGTTATTATGCGCCTAACGGTTACGGAGAAAATTCCAAAAAATTTTAAATTTAACATTCCCATGTTATTCATATAGACAATAAGTCAACTGTTGTAGTTTGCTTGTTTGTGAATATATTTTGATCAAATTTGGAAAATACATTCATTTCTTACTAAACTATTACAAGAAATTTTCGTTTATGAAGAGTACTAATAAATTATGTAACGAGTTATTTTTCCTAGGGGGGTAAATATTTGCTATTTGGCCGCGCACCGATTGTTGAAGTAAGCAAGCGGCAACGGCGCCCTTTGACCCGGCTTATCAGTTCGGATAAGCTTGGGTATCCTGGGACTACCGGATAGCCGAGAAGGACATTCTAGTGGTGGATCCTGTACAGTGAGGAAGGTAGTGTTGGTGTCTTGCTGAGACGACGTTTGGTGTACTGGAGTACGTTGGTGTTGTGCGGTGTGACAGTGAGTGTCGGCGTTCAAGTTGGGTAGTGACCCACTTGTGGTGAGTGGACGACGTGTTTTATTATATTTTGGTTTAAGAGTTGATAGTTGACATTAAAAACATTCATCTCTGATTTGATTGCAGGAGTTAGAGTTGTAACCGTGCTGGTCAAAGCCTGATGGTAGTTAGTATTTACAGGTGTCAGGAATAATATTAAAGTACATTCCTGATGGTTCTGGGCAGGCGCTAGAGCGCAAATAATATAATTTATTGACTGTGGTAGATATTATTTTGCGTTGTACCAAGAGTTAGTTACATTACTAATAACTCTGAGGCCCAACAAACCTAGGCAGCACGATTTGGCGTGCGTAGTTGGAAGTACCGTAGGCTAGTAGCTAATTCTATTAGCCTAGTAACAGAAGCCCAGCTAAGTAATATAACGTTGATATAGTAGCAGTAGTACTAGTAGCAGTAGGGTTGTTATTGATTAATCATTTGATTATTTTAATTTAACCTGAACAGCTTGTTTAGTAATCCAACACGTTATCTTGGTAGCTTGGATAACAGAGTACCGGCTATGAGATAATATATTTATCTAGTGTTTGGAACGTATTTAATATTTATTTATCTGCTACTAAGTAGTTTAATAATTTAATAGTGGTGCAATTGACATTTAGCTTTGCTAGTTTGGCTTGGTATTTATTGAGACCAGCTACTAGAGGTTTAGTCACTCTGCCAATAGTATACTTGTACTATTATATGGTATTATTATTGAGTGAACTGTTTGATTCTTAGCTTGGGCATTAGAGTTGTGTATTGTAGTTTAGTGGCCTAGTAGACCCCGCCTGGTGATAACTCGCGTTGTGGTTTTTATTGGCAAGTCGTCGTGTAACTCACTGCGTTTTAGGAACTCTGGGCTTAACTATTGGATAGTTAGGACGAAGCCCGAGTTGCGTAGTCAGCAACGACCCCCTAGGGGTGTGGAGAATCGGCGTAGGCCTGGTAGTGATTATTGCACGTTTGTTTTGGTGACTTGTTTTTGACTTGTTCACAGTGCCCGTGTATGAGCCAGTCCTATACTGGTTAGACCCGGCTATTGGCCTAGTGGTTTCCCTGACCTTATCGCAGACCCTGGAACTTTACCCAGCCATTGTAGGCTGAGCTATCCCCGGCAAACGTTTGCGACTGCACTTACTTGTAATATTTTTCCAGTGCAGAAAGTAGCGTCGCAAGATGGCGCCCGAACAGGGACTGAGGTTGGCAGTGGTGCTGAGTTGCTGATGTATTAACGGCGCCCGAACAAAATAATTTTATTTGTGCAGATTGGCTGCGGACTTTTGCAGATTTATATACATTATTATTATTTATATATTTATGTACATTATATATATATTTATTTATAGCAAAGCTAAAGTAAAGAGTAAAGATTTATAGTTGTATTTTATTCTCTGAATTGGTGCCAATGCTTATCTTTAAACGAATGGCATAACTAAGTTTTACTTCAAAATTAGTCCTCAGCCATTGCCACCGCCAAATTTATTTATATAAAAATACACTTTTTAAAATGGAACTCGGGTCTTATGGTTGGCCATATCTTCTTGGGATTACATTGACTAACGA